CAACGAAAGTTTCCCTGTCGAAATAAAGAGCCATCCTTCAATTGAATCGATTATTTTCCAAATCACGTGAGCGCCGATCTCTATTTCGGTGGTAGAGGGTTTGTTTTTTCTTTGCTTTCTCATGGCAGACTGGGTATCATTATGGACACTAGGATCCAGGAAAATAACTCCGACTCAGGACGAAAGGTTGGTTATCTCTAGCCTTTGCTGGCGATCAGCTCCTGCCTTTGTTGTCAACTTCGCCATAGTATAACTTCAATTCAAGATGCAACTGTAATATACAAAAGCACTGACGGGGAAAACGGTTGAAATCTGCACTTCGGTAAGGGGAAAAGCGGATTCGCTGAAGTCCGAAGTTATGAACCCGACCTTACCTGTTAATTTGACCAAGTTTCCCCCTGGGAAATTTCCCTCCATGCTCCAAGTCCGTTTTGCGGTGAACCCCTTCACTGGCAGCATCAGAAGAGGCTCTTCAGGGGATATTGGCTTCGATTGAAAAGTAGGTTGGTTGTTGTAAACCTAAGTTGGGGGAAGTAATTATCAGCTCTTTGTCAGAGTAAAATTTTTTTGTGCACTTGTCGTAGTGCTGAACTCGCATTCTTCAAGATGACAGATTTGCAATGTGAGTTTATGGTTGCAACAATTGGATTGCATTTTGCAAAAAGGAACCACTAGCATTGCAATGATGCTAAGATTGTGCAACTTCATCTTTTGCAATAAATTTGCGGAAATCGTGAAAANGCATTGAAATTTCCTCAGCGGCAACGGTGCGAAGAGAGAGGTGGACGCTGAGTCGGACAATGGACGGAAACGGAAGGCCGCGCCGATCGCGTCCACGTTGATAGTCGAGCCCCGAACGCCATCGCTCACCATATCACAGCTGCCACGCTTTGTCAATTTCAGCTCTGATACGTCTTCCTCGAGGTCTCTCGGACCTGGAGAGACAGGGATCAATCAGGGACTGTATATCTTCACAAGTGCCCAAGCGTGAATGATCGATTATCGATATTTCCCTCTTGAAGCTATGGTGAAGAATCGATTGTTAAGGTTTGCGTTGCCAACACCTTTATCGATCCTTCTCCATAGGTTTAAATGGGAGATCAATCGGTATATCGCAAAGCACGCCACGCCGCTAATCTCCACTCTTGGAATCCATATGGGAGACGTTGCTTGAAAATGAGAGTTTCTTTTCTTCTCGGCCCGACGCCATTATTCATTTTCCTTTTTCTTTTAATTCAATGATCCTCTCGGTTTTTTCTTCTTCTTTATCTCCCGTGGTAGTTACCTCCACTCTGGCGTGTCCATATAAGTACATATTATTGGTAGCACTTTTGGTCTATTAATAGTTGACTAAAAGTCAAGTCCTGCAGCATTAGTTTTTTTACATTTTGACTTTGCGATCATGTATTTGGTGCGAAATTATATCATTATCGTCAGCAGCAGATTCCTCAAAATAGATTTTTACTTACCAGGTCGTGAATTCCACTCTTCAGCCGACGTCGCTTAGGATCTTTTGACTCTCCAAGCCAGTGTGAAGGTCCTGTGGCAGGTGGAAATGCCCAATACAACATTTTGTATTTTGTATTTTTTTTCCAATCACCAAACATGTCGTTTTTACGAGGACATTTACATACATACATATATTAAGCCGTTTTTACAGCGCAACCTCGCGCTCTGCGACGCCCAATCGCCATCGCCCCCTATCCTCCCAGAGATCATCAGGCAATCGGCACCTCCTGATCTTCTCCTACACTCCCTGTCGCCAACCTTTCACAGGACGTCCACGCCGTCGCCTTCCGGGAGGAACCCAATCGAAAACCTGCTTGGGCAACCGATCATCTGCCATCCTTCGCACATGACCATACCAGACCAACTGCTTGGACCTGATATCGTGCACGGTGTCATTCTCCACACCCATTATCTCGCGCTCGTTTACATTGCGGATACGCTCTCTTCTTGAGATGCTGGCAGAACTCCGCCAAAAGTCACGAGGAAATTTCCTACTGGATATTTCTAGTGGGCACCGAAGATTAGAGTACCTATATTGAGAGAGTATGGCCACTGGGCCCCATGGAGAGGCTTAGGACCCAAAAATGGCGGTGCTTTGTTTTGGTTTTTGTGGATGGGAGGGGGGTCACTGCCAACATTGAACGGTTATCACCAACCGCACTTGCTGCCAACCTTACTACATCTACGATAATTTTTCTCAAAAATTGCACACGATTAGCCTTAAGAACATGTAAAGAAGTCGGAATAGTGCATTTGGGTAAATTTCTCGTTACGATAAGCAAAGAAAACTACATTTTGAGTCATTTTTCATTACACTTATTTATGGTGTCCGCCATTTTTGGGTCCTAAGGGCTCCATTCAGCCTAAGGTGGCTGAGCCAATCAGAGGCGGTAACACCGGTGGCCATACTCTCTCAATATAGGTACTCTACTGAAGATACGCCCCGCGTGGCAACATCGGTGAGAGGGGCATCAAGACTCACGAATGCAGGAACCTCCTCGAGGCAGGGCTAAGTGATAATGACAAGTTTCAATATTCACGCCGTGTATGGATCATTCGTGAGTCTGGGATCGTCTCAGTGTCTGACGACGTGCGTCTGAATGTCTCCGACGTTTCTGAGGACATGTGAATTTATTTTATAAACATTCGATTCCAGGCTGCGGCTCGGGATGCGCTTTAAAGGCGTCACGTTGCCGCATTTCCAGCGTCCTGCCCGTGTTCGCACGCCAAGTTGCAGATTTAGCGAGGAATCCGACAACCCTGTCGGTAAATCAACGAGGCACGTACGACTGTATGTTTTAAGCAATAACTTGAGACGGACTTGGGCCGTTGCGCTGCTAGCCAAATCGCTTGCTCATGAAACTGAACATGTCCATGATCTGATGAGCTCTAGAACACTATAGCATTCCTATGGATCTCAGAATGGAGATGTTGCCTGTGGGAGGGATTTGCGATTTGACCATTGATTCTTTTGTAAAAGTTTGCGAGAAACACGATGCTGCCACTGGTTTTCTCTGTCATCATCTCCCAAGCTCAAAAAAAGCTCTCAAAGTGAGGCTAAAATGGAGGGGATATCCCACCCTACCCTGAGAGTCCACCTCTACATCAAAACAAACTCTCCATGCAAAGATAGGGAGAAAATACATTAGCAGTGATGCCGTATTTTCAGTTTTGGAGTCCCCAAATAAAGTGGCAACCCTGCTACTGTATTTGCTCCCTATCTTTGCATGGAGAGTTTGTTTTGATGTAGAGGTGGACTCTCAGGGTAGGGTGGGATATCCCTTCCATTTTGGCCTCACTTTGAGAGCTTTTTTTGAGCTTGGGAGATGATTTCAGAGAAAACCAGTGGCACCATCGTGTTTCTCGCGAACTTTTACATAAGAATCCATGGCCAAATCGCAAATCCCTAACACATGCAACATCTCCATTTATCGAAATTGCACCTCTTAGGTTTGAACATTGACCAGGAGCGAGGCGCTAATAATCGATTATCGATATTTCCCCATTTAAAGCTACGATACAGAATCGATTATTGAGGTGTCCGTTGCAGACACCCTGTTAATCGATTCTTTTCCGTAGGTTAAAATGGCAGATCGATCGATATGTCGCAGAGCACGCCACGCCACTGACATTGACTTATTCAAACGACGAGAAACTCGATTGGTTGAGAGATGAGGTGCGCAGGTTGAATGGCTCGTACGAAAAGAGGCACAAGTCTTTTCGACCTAATTTTCGAGGAGACAAAGAAATCGTGTATAGTGCTCAAGAAATGCAACAGGGAGATAGAAGAAATTATAACGATGCACCTTTTCATCGTGCCGGAGGTCCTGAAAAGAGTTTTGCTAAAACCTGAATTTCCGGCGAAGAAAAAAATTGAACTTGCGCATGGTACATACAACTACAAGTTTTTTTTTGACTTGTTGAGGCAGTTTTTCGGTGATAACCTCCTCATTCCTCAACAAATCAGTGTAAAGTTGATTTTGACAAGTATTTTAATGTATGTACGTATATGGTTGACACCGCAGTAAGCACTGAGAAATACAAACCCACTTACATGCGATGAACCCAATATTACTACCAAAACTCTGAAACTCTTCACCTCTTCGTTAAAAATCTAAATTTTCGTTTGTGCTCCCTTTTTCAAAATTCTCTGTAAAGACGTTAATAGCCTGTGTCGCTGAATGTCTCAAAATTATACCAACTAACTCCGTTCTGATGTTCTCCTTCAATTTGCCTGCATAGGCAACAAACATACCGGGTAGCGCTGATAGTATATCTGTCCAAAACACACATTTTTAGCGCTTTATCAGTTTTACTGCATGATCAACGACTTAGTTGAACTATTGGTTGGTATCGTCCGTCTAAAATTTTCCTTCAATTTTGCTGCGTAGGCAATATAAGTACCTGGCTGCGCACAAAGTTATCTATTTGAAAAACACATATTAATCTCACTCCACGACCTTTCATTGAATCGATAACAGAGTTTTTGAAATTTTTTGGTGGATATCGTCTTTGATGTCTCGCCTTACATATTTTCGGATATATCGGGATCATGCGTGCGTTTCTTCAGGTTTGTTTGTGTACACGAATTCACGTTACACCGACATGAATATGTTTAGGAGCATTCAGATGTGTAGTGTTCAGTGGCGTGGCCTGATTTGCGATGTATCGATTGTTATGCCATTTAAACCTATGATAGAAAATCGATTATTAAGGTGTTCGCTGCGAACACCCTGATTATCGATCCTTTTCCATAGGTTTAATTCGCGTAACAATCTATATATTGCAGAACACGCCACGCCACTGGTAGTGTTACCCTAACGGGCAATGAGCGGAATTCCACCCTGATCTTAATGAATCGTTTGGATCAGCATTTTGATCAAACCGCGGAAAAATTATCATAAAGAATATTAAAGTACTATAATGAAGATTATATACCTCCCCTTAGTCCCCATTCCTCTTCTAAAAGTTTTAAATGAATATACATTTAATTAAAAGACTTCGAAAAACGAAAGATTATTTATTGAAGATAAGAAAAATCGAAAATAACAGGTGTATTAATGTTCTTGATGAAAAGAGCCACCATGTGAAGTAAATAATTCAAAGAAGAAAGAAAAACAAAACAAAACGAAGCAAGAGTAGGCATTATGCACTGCATCAATTAAACGCCACTCGAATCAAAAACTACGAAAAATAACTAGAAAAATTATTATTGTTTCTTAATATAGCCGGTCGAGATCATAATGTTGATAAAATTTAGGACTATGACTTAAAAAAGGAGGTGAACCAGTTTTTCCTAAAAGAAAATAGTCAAAATAATCAATAGAAATAAACGAAACATGAGTTATGTCAGTCAATTGTAACTCATCTTTCTATTTTAAACGATCAATCTTAAAACCTCATATTTTCGCTTGTTAAGAGACTATGAATGATCCATTGTTCATGTGCAGTGTAACTATGAAAAATCTGTTGATTTCGTATAAATGTATCATATTCATGCGTAAATCGTAGAAAAACATCCACAACTCATATCTTAAAGACTTGAATGATGCTTTTGTTACCATTACAGTTAGGTCTGTAACACACCCAGAGATAAATACCATGTCCTTCATCGATGCAAGTTTTGGGAGTCGTACTTAAAAGTACATAATTAATCCTTTGTCTCAGAGGATTATATTGTTCGCCAGGTTGATGGATTTTTCGAGGATGAGCCACATTTTTTTCACTCAAAATTATTCATACTTACATACAAATTAGTCAAATTGTCGGGAAAAATCTATGAAAAATATCCACAGTGCCTTAAAGATTTGCATGACGCTCTTGGTAGATACAGGGCCACGTCTACAAAGCGTATATCACCGTCGCCCTTTGAATGGAACCTCGCGGTAAAATCACGGAGGAGTCATGGGCGGTGCAAACTCAAGGGAGCAGGAAAGTTTCTAGCATTTTTCGTTGTTCAAAAAATGCGGCTCCTCTGAGGTTTGACGCCGAATAAAGTGTTGTAAATCGAGGGAGGTGGTTTTGGTCGGGTCATTTTGACTCCAATCTGGACGCCGACACAAAACGCAACGACCAGCACGACGAGGAGTAGTCCACCGAGTGCGGCACAGCTCATTCTCCTCCCGCTGAAACAATCAATGATTACAACATGGATGCTTTGGTGAGTAACGTGTTGAGCAATCCACACAGTAGGTTTGTCAAACTGCAATTTCATTGTGAAGCGGATCGGCTTTAACAGAAGTAATGTTCCAGTGCACTGAAAAAAAAGCTCGGTGTATTTACTAAGAAAAGGGTAAAATTACCAAGAATTCAGGGTTCTATTTGATCCCAGTTTTTTCTTGGTAAAATTACTATTTATGGAATTGGTAATTTTACCGAGAAATCTCGGTAAAATTGTTTAACTTTCTCGGTAATTTTACTGGACCTTGGTAAAAACGCCAATATTTCTTATCGACTGTGGTAGGATTACCGAGTTAAAATGGCAAAGTTATCGAAAATCGATCACCAATAAAAGTGGTATTCTTACCTGAAAAAAAAAACAGTAAAAATACCAGTTTTTAGGTAAGCTTACAAGTCTGTCTTGGTAAAATTACCAATAATTGGTAAAAAAGTGAGATGGTAAAGGTACCAACGGATCTTGGTAAAAACGCCGAGAATTTTTTTTCAGTGCAGTAGTAATGTTCCGGTAAAGCTAGTACTTGTGAGCTGGAAGATGTGATACTAATACTTCAACTTCCGCGGAGCTCACTTGAGAGGGCTTGGAGGTGGAGGAGAGGGCGCAAAAGTGCAGTTTTTGAAAAAATTGAGATATTAATTAATGGTTTCAAGTAAAACTAGTCTGAATGCATATACTGTGAAAACGCTCCCTAATTCTAATTTTCAAGCGTCAAAAAGTCAGTTTGAACTTTCTTTTCGCCATTAGGATCCATGAAATATCGAAACTTCAAACACGTACTCCTCGAAGTAGCAATAACTGCACTTATGCGCCTTGTTCTCAAAGCCCCTCACATTATGTAACGATTGAATTGAAGTTAAAATATTCCACCCCCGAAAAATTATAACAAAAAAGCCCATCCTTCACGGAGAAAAAAACTTCGTGCGTGGTACCCGAAGTTTAGGTCATATGGATCTCTGAAGTTTTCGGATTGAACATCTGAACTCTTTAGGTCCAGCTGCTGAGGTTTGGATCACACATCTGAAACTTCAGTTCTTACATCTGAAGTACTTCGGTTTACACATCCGAACAACTTCGATTCTCACACCCGAAAAACTTCGATCCTCACATCTGAAGTACTTCAGATGTAAAAACTGGAGTTTCAGATGTAAGATTCGAATCTCGACAGCTAGACCTAAAGTGTTCAGATTCTCAATCCGAAAACTTCAGAGATCCATATGACCTAAACTTCGGGTCCCACACACGAGTTTTTTTTCTCCGTGTTGATTGAATTTTAAGCAGTTTCAGCATACAAATGGTGCATTATTTGAAAGTTGCTCACCGAATAATACCTCCTTTGGAGTAATTTCATTTTAGTGTGTGGACTGTACATTTCTACGGTACTGAGTAACCGTCGGTTTAGTAAACATTGGTAGTAATGCTGTCTTGAAACATCCCAATTAATTTATAGGAGCACACTGAAAAAAAAATCTCGGTGTATTTACCAAGGAAATGGTAAAATTACAAAGAATTCAGGGTTCTATTTGATCCCAGTTTTTCTTGGCAAAACTAACATTTATGGAATTGGTAATTTTACCGAGAAATCTCGGTAAAATTATTGAGCTTTCTTGGTAATTTTACTGGATCTTGGTGAAAACACCAATATTTTTTATCGACTGTGTCAGAATTACCAAGATAAAATGGCAAAGTTACCGGGAATTGATTACCAATATAAGTGGTATTCTTACCTGAAAAAAACAGTAATAATACCGGTTTTCAGGTAAGCTTACCAGTCTGTCTTGGTAAAATTACCAATAATTGGTAAAAAAAAGTGAGATGGTAAAGGTACCAACGGACCGTGGTAAAAATGCCGAGAATTTTTTTTCAGTGCACATTTTTTCCTCCCTCTTTTTCTCCCTTTCCCCATTTTTCCTTCTTTCTCCCCCTTTTTTGGACCGAGGGGTGGGGCACATGCCACTTACCTGTGTTTATTTGGCTGAGAATAAGCCAGGAGAATGTTGGTGTAAATCTGATTCCGGCGCTCTGCTTTACGGATTTGGCCCTGTATTTTTCGAACGACGGGACATTTTGCGTGCTTGAAAGTTTCGAGCAACTCTGCATAGTTCGACAAGGGCTCCATACGTTCTAGATCGTAGTTAACCGTGCTCATCGTTTCAATGAATTGCCTCGAATAATAAACGAACCTGCAAGAGGAAGAATTAACAATATTGGTAGTTTGGGAACTGTATCATGGAGTCCTTACGCTTTTCCTGCAATAACCCAGGCCCGGGCTGGCCATAGGGCCAATCTACCATTGACAGATACGCTCCCTTGGCGCGCCGAAAACGCAACACGGTAGCAGACAGATAGCAAAATAAGAAGAGAAAAAAAATTACAACCGAGAATAAAGGCGGAAAATGTCTTAAATGAACGGAAAAAGCGAGAGTTAGGAGTAAAACAAGGTGCTTCTGCACATGAAAGCTGTGAACAGAGGTCCAAGAACTACTTTCTGAAGCGTAAACACTTTTCTATGGAATTTTCACTTTCTGATGACATACAGGCACTTTAATCATACCCCTCCTTCATTCACTATGTGTATTCTATTCTCATAGAAGCGATGGTCGGTTCGATTTTTAGACATACGCACCGCGCACCCTTTATAGACCTCTTGAGAGACCTATAAACATATTTCTTCCATTTCAAAATGACTATTGACTTGAACATACCATGGCATATCTCGGGAAAACTTAACCATACTTTATCTCGTAGTTCAAAAAGAGACATTTAAAGTGTAAACGCGATACAGCTATTCGCGCAAGATGGATGTCCACATTGTATATGAAAAATGTAAGACGCGATGGCATACATCGTAAACTCACAATACTGTGCTCGATGCTACTAGTTTGAAGCCCCATCACGAATAAGACAAACGCAAACGAACAAAATATGGAATTAGAGGAATGGAAAGGATGCGCGTCCGTGACGGCGCAGAGATACAACTATTCGTACTTGATGGACGTCCGTGCTGCATCTGAAAAATTGAAGGCGCGATGACGCGAAGCGTGAGCTCTCAATGCTCTGCTATATGCTGCCAATGAGGTGTCGCTCAGATTCCGGAGAAAAGTTAAAAAAGAGGCCCTAACACATCTCTCCTACCTTCGGTTGTGTTACTCACTTACTGCTTGAAGCACCATTACGAATAAGACAAACGGAAACAAACACAATATGGAAATATGGATCCAGGAATGGAAAGGATACGCGTTCACGACGGCGCAGAGATACAACTATTCGTACTTGATGGACGACCGTGCTGCATCCGAAAAATTGAAGGCGCGATGACGCGAAGCGTGAGCTCTCAATGCTCAGCTATATGCTGTCGAGGTAAATAGCGAAGACGTATAGCTGAGACGACTTGGCAACCAAGTCTAGGCCGTTGCATCGGTCATAATCCGAATATGCACGTTGTGAGCAAGTGGTTATTAATTCCGGCGCTCAATCACAGCGCGCGGGCATAATTGAGAATTTTCCGCGCGTGGCGGCCGGCTTCCGCTTCGGAGCATAATCAGGACTTTCCACTTTTTCCGGCTGTCATTTTCCTCGGCCGCGGCCGGCGACAACGAGCCGAGAGAAAGAAGAAGAAGACGAAGGACTCGCGCCTGAATAAAGGAGGAGACAGTCACCACGCCCCGTCGCCGTCGTCGGCCAGACGACAACCTCCACGCGCGGAAAATTTCAACTCCAACAGCTCAATTTGAGCGAAATAACTTCCTAAATAAATACATAGTGAGCAACAAACGGGCAGGATGTCGCGAGCGCGTACGATCATCATCAGCCGTGTCCTGCCACTTCGCACAGTGGATGGAGTCCATGGGAGAGGTCGGACATAACATGGAAACTTTAAGGGTTCATAACTTCGTTAATATAGGGTGTCTACAAGTCGGGAATTTTCGGAGAATCCGGAAATAGTACGGATTTTTCAAGGCCGGTCCGAAAGTACTGAAGAAGTGCGGAAATTCCGCAAGAAGGTCCGGAATTTTATTCATTTTTTGGAGGGAGTCATGTTTGTCGCAATTTGAGCGAGAAATTCAAATTTTTGACGTTTTTCGAATATCGTTAGTTGGAGGTACTGTAAAAGTACTGAATCATTCCGTGGAGGAGGTACCGAGTTTTTTGGAAATATGCTGAAAAGGTACTGATTTTTGGTCAGCCTGTTTTAGTAGACACCCTGTCAGGGTGTCTACAAGTGTGGAATTTTCGGAAAGTCTGTAAATAGTACGGATTTTTTAAGGCCGGTCCGAAAGTACTGAAAAAGTGCAGAAATTCTACAAGAAGGTCCGGAATTTTATTCATTTTTTTGGGGGGGGAGGGGGTTATTTTTGTCGCAATTTGAGCGAGACATTCAAATTTTTGACATTTTTCGAATTTCGCCAATTTGGGTACTGTAAAAGTACTGAATTCCTCTGATGAGGAGGTACTGAATTTTTTGAAATGTCCTGAAAAAGTACTGATTTTTGGTCAGCCTGTTTAAGTAGACACCCTGGAAGTGAAATTTAGGATTTATTCGATGTGGCAAGCGGATAGTACGCACGAGTGGTCACGACGACGACGCGACGACGCGGCGCGCCGGGCGCGCGCTGCTCCGTGGCGAAAGGTGCGTAAACTCTCATTTAACTGTTTACTCGTGGTCGCGCCCGCTTTTGAGTGGTGGTGCGTCATGCGTAACACCAGTTTCGGCATGGCAGCCTCCGCGCCTCCCAACATGGCGCCGCGTCGCGCCACTCCTGTGGGGTGTCAGCCTATGGACGATATTCTGCCGTCCTAAGGAAAAACGCCGTGTGAACCTTAAGGCGCCTTAAACCTGCCAAATTTCATTGCAGGAAAATGTGTGAACATTTTTCTTCCAATTTTTCAGATACTTTTGGTCGCGATTTTACTTAGAGTTTCTGAAAATTCCAAGGAAAAATGGACGTATTTCTACCAACCAGACCTATGTGGAGGTGAGAAATGTGGGGTGTGCTCGTTAGTCTTCTTTACGTAAGAGTGAATGGGAATAATAAAGCGCCAGTGACGTCAGCGGCAATGATAGTGCGCACTCGAGCGAGGGGGGAGATCGTTAGAGGGAGTATAACTCATGAGCCCCGTCCACAAGGCTCTCTTGCCATGCCCGCGGCTCATGACTGCCGCATTCAATTGGCACATAGGTCTGTTTGATAGAATGTAATATCCCGCTTTTCTAATTCTGCAAAAGGAATCACGCCCACTTTTACATTGCTTCTTATGCAGCTTCCTAGAGCACACCCCATATTTCTCACCTCCACATAGGTCTGTTTGGTAGAAATACGTCCAAATAGTCATTGCTCTCCCCAAAAATAAACATTTTATCGAGGGAAATTTGGCAACTCTCGAATGTTCACACGGCGTTCTTCCTTAGCACGGCAGTATCGAGGCGTTGGGGGCAGAAAGGGCATTTCTCGGTTGCGCATTTCAGAATTTCCCACGCTAATTTTTATTTTAGAATGGTAACTATTGGATAAATTTTCTGAAATTTTACGTTTTCAGCATTGTAAAATTATGAGGGATACTCAGTAAATGTTACAACGAATTACTTACGTCCGCTTTAATCATAATATTTGATGGAACATTAGCGAAGATTTTGAGATACTGCAACTGAGAAATGCCCTTTTTGCACCCAGCACTTCTATCTAAAGTCCTCGATGGAGTTGCCTCTAATCATTCTTCTTGCCCCAATTCTTGAAATACTTCTGTTTGAAATTTTGCCACAATTTCTGAACGACTTACAACTGGCCGCTTTCATGCTAAAATGATCTATGTGCATAAGATTTGCGTGAGACATAGTTCTTTTTACCATAAATACGTTCAATTAGTATGTTACGTCCTTTTATGTACGTAAAAGTAAATATCTCGAAAAAACGTTTGAAGACTGGCAGAGAGGACAGTGAGACATTAATCAGGCACATCCACAGGTTTTAATCGCTTGTTTGAATGAGCCTTCTCAAAAATCATCACTCAAAACTAATTGACAGCCTCACTGCGGGGGACCTCCAACACCTGCTCTATGCGAAAGAATGTCATCGTGATTTTGGGTGGGGCCAGTGCTCGAATCGTCTCGACGCCATCATGGGATTGTTACCGAACTAATTTAAAAGCAGTCTCATTATTTTACATTTTAATGTTCTCCGCAAACAATAAACGATTAAAAAGCCGCGGTGTGAATGAAGATACTTACGTTTAAGGTGGGCGGAGAATGTGCGGCTCATTAAATATGTTTAGTGCGCGGTTCTTTGCGCTGTTGCAGCGAGTTCTTGACCTACGCAAATGTTTTTGGTGCCGGTGCACGGTGCGTGGCGGGTGAAAAATATCCTGCCAACGAGCAAGTTCGGATAACACGGTGCGCGGCGTTTGGAAAATATCCTGCCAAAGAGCAAGTTCGGATAACACAGTTAGCGTTATAGTTTACAGCTTATGTTAAAGCTCAAATCCGAGGGAGAGGGGAAGGGAAGACTCTGAAAATTATCAACAGGCGGCAGATTCGGCCTGAAACTAGGGCATAATTAGATAAAGCATGAATGAGTAGGCTATGTTTTAAATTTCTTCTTCACCATACTGCCGTGCTAAGGAAAAACGCCGTATGAACCTTCAGACGTTGCCAAATTTCCTTTCATAAAATGCAAATGTTCTTGTAAACTTATGAATATTTTCCTCCCAATTTTTCAGACGATTTTGTACGCAATTTAATCGAAAATATCTGAGAATTTTAAGGAAAATCATGCATGAATTTTGTCAAAAACAAATGTTGTATCGTGGGAAATTTGGCAACTCTGGAATGTTTATACGGCGTTCTTCCTTAGCACGGCAGAATAGTCGTGCGTATGTAAATACGCAGAAAGCAATTCACGCTACGAGAAGTAAGGTCCTTTGAGGGGCTCAGGGGACAAGGCACATAAGTGCAGTTTTTGCTATTTCGAGAAATACGTGTTGGAGGTTCCGAAATTACATGGATCCTTTTGGCAGAAAGAAAGTTCAAACTCACTTTTCCATGCTTCAAAATTGGAATTTGGGAGCGATTTTTTTTAGATTATGCATTCAGACTAGTTTTACATGATTTTATTAATATTTCAATATTTTCAAAATATGCACTTACGCGCTTTGTCCTCCAAGCTCCTCTTTTGTGTTTTTGCCATCAAACCAGTAAAAATACCCGGCGTAATGAAACTCATTTTCTATGCAAAATCTAGAAGGAAGCATGTTACGGAGTGTTTTCAGTTCGCGCCTCGTCAGCACAGGTGAAAATCGCCGTTTTAATGGTTACTTTGAGTTTATTCCATTCAGACCAACCAAAAGTACTTGGTTTTTAATCAATTAAAATTAGAGTAACAGATATTTCATAAGACAAGAAAATTCAACTTGTTAAAAATGGATTCTCTATTGGCAGTACTCAGTAGCGCTACTTCGTTTTGATTAAAGATCGGAAACGATAGAAAACGAATGATCCGGATAATTCGCCTTCAAATATGAGTGTAGGCGTAATACTACCTACTGTCATGCATGCATAGTTGCTTACTTTACAAGGTAATTTTTTACTCATTGTCTGATTTTTATCGCGTCATGGAAAGACTGTGCGTCTTCATTTATCTTCCTATATGCAACACGGATTTCTGTCGAGCAGGCATAATTTCATGTAAACGTCACCCTCCAGCATTTCATGGACTAAACTCTCCAAAATTAATGAAAAAGCCTTTAAAAAGTTTGTGGAAAAGAGACAATGTTACCTTTTCTCTCCGCAAAGTGGGATCTTCGGAGAGTCATTGCAATTTACATACACAGAATTTCAAAAGTACAGTCCAACTTAGAATTCTATAATATTAATTGTTTATTCAGATTCATCTAAATTGTAAGTGGCACTCGATTATGTAGACAGAAGGCATTTTAAAACGGTGCCTTAAGCCTCTTAATTATTTTCCCTTCGTTGAATTCTTTTTTAGTGCTGTGAAGCAACATGTTTATGCGTATAAAAAATTAAAGCGTTCAACTTACGGCTAATCACGCAGTAGCTCACTCAACACAGTTTTGTTTCCACTGACCGGTTTGACTTGAATTTCTCTTAAAATGAAACAAAAGTTCTGAATGAAAATTGATCACTGTCACTTGCAATAATAAATGTAGTGCAGTTATTAACGCATGGTACCTACATCCGTCACGTAGTCTCGTCACATTGGAAGAAAAATTCTCTGAAAGGAAGGTTAGGATCTAGGCTTCTCTTATGTCAGACTTTGATATCAGCTGTTGGTTACGATGTCAACACTAGAGCACACACTGAGGTCATGTGGTATTTTGCGCATTTTATCCGATTATGGTAGACCTATGACAAAATTCACGATTGGCAACACTTCTTTATTTTTACTTTCTCGTTCTCTTAATATTTCAAAACGATTTTTACTAAGTCAGTACCTATTTCTCGAAATTGCAAAAACTACACTTTTATCCCTTGTCCTCCAAGTCCCTTACTTATCATATTTTGACAAATAGATCCATTTTCGCGAACAGTCCGATATCCTTCTTTATTGATTTGTGTATGCATTCGCACACATGGACGGAGTCAAGGGGGTCGGGAAGTCTAACCTCTAAAGGCCGTCCCCTCCCCCCTTCCAGAAAAGTTGTTATAGTTTGTTGCCGCACAATCTCAGTAGAAATCTGTGAAGGAAGAATAAGCCTCCCTCCTCCCCCCCCCCTCCATCGCAAGATGATTTTAGTTACGAACATACACATGACAGAGAATGAAATAAGCACCGTATTAAAATCAACATTACCTGAATATGATAGACCTGAAATCATGGTAAGTATGCCTTTTTCGGTGCAGGTATTCAATTGGGAGCCCGAGAGCCAACCGGGTCCGGTGGACCAATGTTGCCGGATTGTGTGAAAAGCACTAAAAGTTTAAATGAGTTAAGTGGGGGAAATGTGCCGAATTTTAAGCACAATCTGGCACACTGAAAAAAAAACTCCGGCCGTGGGAGCCGCAATTACGGACTATATAGACATACCGTCCGTTCCGGGCTCAAAGGCCGAAAATTCCGGCTGCTGGAGTCGTAGCTTCGATTGCTCCGGGTTCAGAGGCCGAAGCTACGGCTCCAGCAGTCGGAATTTTCGGCCTTTGAGCCCGGAACGGACGGTATGTCTATATAGCCCGTACTTGCGGCTCCCACAGCCGGAGTTTTTTTTTCAGTGCAACAATGCGGTGGACTCACGTTCGGCGAGTGACGTCACGGCTTGTTAACGTGCCGAAGCCGGCTACCTTTTACTTTCAGAGGGCATAAAACCGAACGGGAGGGAGTAATGGTAATGATATACCCTGTACTAATTGTAAGGTCAATCTGCATGGGCCCAGTAATTGATGGGAGAAGGCAGGGCGACCTCAGCGTTGACGACGGTTCGCCGGCACGGCGGTACCCTCTCTTTTCACGTCCCTGCAAACAGTGGCCTGGCGAGCTTGACGATGTATCGATCCATCTCCCATTTAAACCTATGGACAAAGATCGATAAACAGGAATACCTCAATAATCGATTCTTCACCGTAGTTTCAAATGAGGAAAATCAGTAATCGATCATTCACGCCTCGCCACACCCAGCAAATTGATACAATTGAAAAACAATGCGCACGGAAGAAAGGACTGGACGCACAGTTGGCCCATTCGACCACGTAGTTCGTCTACCCGCTAATGTTGCTGGTTTACCCGTCCGTGCCATGGCTTTTCCAAATGAGGGGGCGAGGAGTGGCGGGGATTTGTAAATGATACACTGAAAACAAAGTTACGGGCTACAGGCATACCGTCCGTTCAAGAAGTAGAGGCTGATAGTTCCGGGCGCTAGAGTTGTAGCCTCAACTGCGCTGCACCCGGAACTTTCGGCCTCTGAGTCCGAAATGCAGGCGGTATGTCTATATACTGCCGTGCAAAAGAATGCCGCGCTATGCGTTTCACGCCGACCGCTGCTGACCACACTGTTTGGCGTAATGCGTGAAGTATTCATGCAGTCTTGCAGGCGCTATGCGTTTCCAGCCGACTGCTGCTGACCGCAGTGTGTTTAACGCAACGCGTGAAGTATTCATGCAGTCTTGTAGGCGCTATGCGTTTCATGCTGACCGCCGCGCCGCTCCGTTCCAGGTCAAATTGCGTGGTTTCTCTCTTAACTCGACTAATTGAAGGTGTTGTCTCATGTATCACCGAGAGACGACAAAATTAGAAATCACTATTATTTTACTCCGAGGAAATGAGAGATTTTGTCGTCTTTTCTCATTTGTAATTTTTTTTTCTGAATCCGATTTTTTTCTCTCTTTTTTTGATACCTACATTCAAAAAGATTGCAACATTTGCCGCCATGGGCCGCGGCCCATGTGGCCACCCCCTTAATTCGGCCCTGGAAGGAATGTGTGTGTAAAGAGGCTACTGCCTAACTTGTGCTGCAAATTTGGTCAATTTTCTTGGGATGAACTATCAGACAAGTAAAAATTGAGCTTGATTTGTGCCCCAACACAGTTAACACGGAAAGGAGCCATTCAGATTAGTTTTCTTTAAAAAATAAATACATACATAATTTGAAATTTCTATGCGTTGCAGGCATAGGCGGATCCAGACACCTTGAACAGGAAGGGGGACGTAAGGAGGTCCGGGGACCTCCTTTTCCAGAAAATTTTTGTAGCATCTAGTATGCAGTTTGAGTCAATTTTGCCATGTACGCGTTTTTCCAGTGTTCCTATCTTCTTTCTACTCTCTCTTTTCCTTCAACTTTTTTAGGGGGAACGGAGGACGTACGCCCCCCCCCCCTCTTCCTGGACCCGCCAACGGTTGCAAGGGAGAAACGCGTTTCTCGACCGCAGCTATCGTATTTTAGTGTATCTTTGGTGTGCAACACACCCATTAGAATAATGCTGTTACCCCAGCTCTATCTGGAGCCACCTCACAGACCGATAAAGCGGCCTTGATCGGACCCTGATCCGTCCCTTCTCTTTTCAACGGCGGCACGATCCGGCAAGTTGGACAAGAATCAAAGCTCCTGTCACCAGGAGACACTCGCCGAAGTGGGTCAGTCTCGAATAATAGGTCGTAGGACTTTCATTTTCAAGCAGCGGCCGGGTCCTTTGGTCCCACTTCAATCTGGTTATGCAACCGAAGAAACACAAAGATCATTGTTTTACGTTCTGGTGTGTCACCTCATGGGCGAACCGGTTGCTAGCCGGATCTCCCGCGTGCTCGCTACCCCGCGATCCTGGCAAATTTTTGCCCCGTGTATAGGAAAAACGGACCGCGTATTCTCTCTTTCTAAAGTTACGTTCAGTGGCATGGCGTGCTTAGCGATGTATCGATTCATATGCCATTCAAACCTACGAAAAAAGATCGATTATCAGGGCGTTCGCAACGAACACCATAGGCACTAATCGATTCTCCATCAAAACTTCAAAGGGATAATATCGATAGTAGATTATCTCGGCTAGACACTGGTTGGGTTTCCTTATTTTTTCGATCATTATTTGGATTTTTCCTTTTTATCATAAGTCTTTGTTACTAAGAGGTGAGATCCAGAGGGGCTTACATGCCCCCTTTAATAATGTATACATTAATGTTATTTATTATCTTAGGATTTTTTTATGAGTGATGAACAGGATTATTAGGTTGAATAATATAAAAATCTAGGATGAGAGTTTAACAAAACATTTAAGTTGCAATTATGAAATAAACTAGATAGTCTTTATCTCAAAGTTGTACAGAAGTAAAAAATTTACAGTCAGTTGGAAAACGCACTGGAAAAAAACAACACATTGGATCTAGAGTCCAGACTCTTAAAAACATCGACAAGAAAAAGTACTCTTGATTCAATCAGAATCCAGCTCAAATCAAGAACCAAGCCTCTTGATTCAAGCGGATTTCGTTTTGATTCAAGCAAAAAGCCGATTGAATCGAGAGTATTTTTTCCTGTCAATGTTTTCAAGAGTCTGGACTCTAGATCCAATTTGTTTTTCTTTCCAGTGTGCGAAGAAAACTCTGCAAAAACTTCAAGGACTGATGTCAATTTGTTTTCCTTTAAAAGAATAATATAGAGGCGGAGAGGTTTGTTGAGTTTCGGAAAGTACAAGAAAATTTTATTACCTCACTGGAAAAAAACACATTGGATATAGAGTCCAGACTCTTGAAAACGTTGACAAGAGAAACTACTCTTGATTCAATCCTTAAATCAAAAGGAAATCCGCTCAAATTAAGAGGTTTGGTTCTTGATTCAAGCAAAAAGCCGATTGAATCGAGAGTATTTTTTCCTGTCAATGTTTTCAAGAGTCTGGACTCTAGATCCAATTTGTTTTTCTTTCCAGTGTGCGAAGAAAACTCTGCAAAAACTTCAAGGACTGATGTCAATTTGTTTTCCTTTAAAAGAATAATATAGAGACGGAGAGGTTTCTTGAGTTTCGGAAAGTACAAGAAAATTTTATTACCTCACTGGAAAAGAACACATTGGATATAGAGTCCAGACTCTTGAAAACGTTGACAAGAGAAAATACTCTTGATTCAATCCTTAAATCAAAAGGAAATCCGCTCAAATTAAGAGGTTTAGTTCTTGATTCAAGCAAAACTCCGATTGAATCAAGAGTATTTTTTCCTGTCAATGTTTTCAAGAGTCTGGACTCTAGATCGAATGAGGTTTTTTTTTCAAGTGCGTTCTTCCTCAGCACGACAGAACGGGGCTGGGGGAGAGGGAAGACTGGCGTAAGAGCCTTTTGGCGTAAACACCTCATTATGCTGTCGGTGGGAACACGCAGCGCGGATTAAGAATATGATTTAATACGTATTCGGCGGAGGCTCTGTATCGGGCGGCGGTGGCGGGCCTGAGTTATGATTGTGATACATGCACCTCGGAGATGCCCGATAACCCCGGCCCCGATCCTGATCCCGTTTAATAATAAGCCGCAGCTGCCCGCCTAATCATAGCCTTGATGACCGTTCAAATTGGACACTTGATTGGCGCCGACGCGGCCTTTAGCGCGCAAAGGCCCGAGCCGCCAATGCACGGATCAACGCCGCGCCGCCATGCGATCCCGGTGTGAGATGTGCTTTGGATTCATCGCCACACCTCGGCTCCTCGACGTTCAATGATCCGCTGATTGAACGGGACTTGCCCGCACTTTTGATCGAGCAGCACCGGCCTCGATGTCGCACTGCCTTGGAAAAGTCCTGCCGTCGGCCCAGAAACAAGAGACTGACCTCTTGGTGACAGGTGGAAGCTTTTACTTTTGGGGACTCAACAATGGGGATGTTGCATGTGTGAGGAATTTTCGATTTGACTATTGATTCTTATGT